CTTTCCGCGGTGATCGAGACCAACGGCACGGCCTCGACCCAACGCGTAGCGCGATCGATGCATGTCAACAAATAACGAAATGGCGCGGTGAAGGGGTGCCCGTGGGGTACTGACGGGGGCAGCGGCCCGACTATGTCTATATGTACAGTTTCGAACCGCTGTGAGGGCACGTCAAACCGACCAGGCGGAGAACGAGTGTGCCTGTGCACCTTGGCTTCCTGGCATGCTTCACACTCCTTCACCCATCGCGCAATGTCACGGCGCATATCATGCCAGAAATAGCGAGAGCTGATGAGACGGGTGGTGCCTTTCCTACCCGGGTGTGACAGGCCGTGGAAACGATCAAACACGGCGCGCCTGCATGCCTCTGGTACGTACGGGCGTGGATATGGTCCAGAGTTTTCACACAGGACTGTGATGTCGCCAGAAAGTGTTACTGGCTCCAATCGGGAGGTGTCCTGCGGGTTTGAACGCGATCCTGGACCTGACTCGGAATCCTGGTGCTCTGAATCGGCACTGTCGGTGTCTCTCTCCTTTTCCTGTTTCTGAGCCGCCGCGATAAAATGGAGGTCACATGCATCGAGGGACACTGCATTTACCGGGCGACTGAGACAGTCCGCCACCACGTTGTCACTGCCACGGATGTACGAGACCTCCGTGATGTATTCCGTGACGACACACCAGTGGCGCTGTTGGCGGTCAGACTTCGCTGTGTGCGGGCTGTGAAAAGCGCGCACGAGTGGCTTGTGGTCCGTTCGCAGGGTAACGTGGCGGCCTTCGATCATGTCACGAAAATGGAGTGTGGCCAGATAAGCCGCGAGTAGCTCTCTGTCATACGCGGCGTACTTCTGTTGGGCCTGACTGAGCTTCCGTGAAAAGAAGCCAATGGGAACGGGTACTCCGTCCACAATCTGATGGAGCGCGGCACCCACCGCGACTTGTGATGCGTCAGTAACGAGCTCGTACTGCTCGCAGTGTGGCACTGGGTGTGGCAGAGTGCAGGCGCCAGCCAGCGCTGCTTTACTGTCACTGAACGCCTGAGTCTGTTCCTCTGTCCACGTCAGTTCTTTGCTTTTTGGGTTGAGTCGAATCAGTTCGGTCAGGTGGAACGTGACATCGGCAAATCGCGGAATCATACGCCGGTAGAAGCCGATGAGTCCCAGATAGCGACGTAGTGACTCTGAGTCATGCGGTAGAGGGAGGTCCAGAATCTCCTTCACTCTGGCCTTGGGAGGTGTGACACCTGTGCTGGTGACGTCATGACCGAGGAAAATGAGTGACTTCTTCATGAACTCGCATTTCTCCAGTGAGATGCGAAGCTTGTGCTCAGCCAGCTTGCTGAACACGAGGCGCAGATCTTTCTCATGCTGCTCCTGGTTCTCGGAAAATACCAGAATATCGTCGAGATAGACGAATACGCACGGCACGTCTCGGAAGATACCATCCATGACCCTCTGGAATGTGGCACCTGCGTTGCGAAGCCCCATTGGAATGAAGGCGTATTCGTACAAGCCGAAGGGCGTGGTGACGGCCGTCTTCTCTGAGTCAGCGGGGTTCATAGGCACCTGGTGATATGCACGGAGCAGATCAATTTTGCTGAACCACTGAGCGTTGTGGAGCTTGGTTGAGAGGCTCTGAATGTGCGGCAGTGGGTAGCGGTCCGGTTTGGTTACGGCGTTGAGCGCGCGGTAATCACCGGTGACACGCCACTCACCAGGGGTACTCTTCGGAACCATGTGAATGGGTGAGGCCCACGGGGACCTAGAGGGACGAATCACTCCTGTTTTGAGCAGCACATCGAGTGCTTGCTTTGCTGCGGTTAGTTTGTCGGGCGGCAGCTTGCGTGGGCTGGCGAACGTGGGTGGAGCGCTGCCGGTGTCGATGAAGTGAGTGGTTTTGATTGGCGAGTCTGTGTAATCCGGCTGGTTAGGGCTGAGAACAGCGGGGTGATCCTCTACGGGATGGGCCGCACTGCCTCAGGCACCTGAGCGAGATCGTTTATCACCAAATGAACAGACTCCCCGGTCGTCGGTACACCGGGAGCAGAGAGCAGAGTGGTGGAGTCGCGGAGAACTTGGGAACCACAATCGACAACCAACGAGTTGTGAGCGAGAAAATCGTTACCGAGTAGTGGCTCTGTCACTTCAGCCACTACAAATGTCCATGTGTAACTGCGTCTGAGTGTGGGGAGGACAATATCGAGAGTGGCCTCGCCATGCACGCGCAGTGGCTGCCCGCTGGCAGTCGTGATCGAAACAGCGGACGGGTGGATTAGAGTTCCATTCACATAGGAGGGTGGAACCAGGGATACACCAGCGCCAGTATCCACGATGAATTTCAGGGGCTGATCATTCACCTTGGCTGTTACCCTAAGGAGCGGCAGGCCGAGGGCTGCGTTTACGGCCTGCTCCTCTCGTTTCCCGACTCTGAGGCTGCACGGGAGGGAGATGCAGCTCGTGAGGACGGCTGCATGGTCAGATCAGCAGCTTTGTCGGGCCAGTGACACCATGGCTTGCAAGTGCGTGCTCGGCTGCCGAAAAACAGGTGAGCACGGCATACTTTCGGCTTCTGGTCAGGGTGGAACGGCGTGAGACCGAGAGACGCCCTTGAATCACGAGCACCACGAGCAGGGGAGTGTGTGGCGGCTCGGCTCTGCGGCTGAGTGGCCCTGTGGTACCTTGGGTGCTGCTGAGCCACAAAGAACGCCTGTGAGTCGGACTGTGGGTCCTGATCCTGACAGTGAACCATGTTAGCAGCTGAGTTTTGCACAAGAGGTATCAGTTCGTCCGCGAGTTTGCCCAACTGCGACAATGAGAGCTCGCGCTGAGAAGCCAGGGCTGTTGCAATGCCTGTAGGTAGCGACTGGATAAATTTGTGCCGAACGAGATCGTCTCCGACACCAACCTTGTCGGCCACCTCTCTGAGTTCGCTTAGAAAGAGTGAGGGGCGGCCCGTCAGACGCGTTTTGCTGATCAGTTTCTCAAACATCTCTGGCTTTGTCTTTTCGTACATGTCAGTGACGGCTGCCTGTAGCTCAGAGAAATTTTTGTTGCTCAAGACAGCACGCGGAATGTGCGAGATGGTTTCCGGAGGCAGGGCAGAGAGAACGTGGTAGAATTTGGTCTGCGAGTTGGTGATTTTGGCAATGTTAAATTGGGCGTCCATAATAGCAAACCAGCCGTCAACCGCGGTGTCCATAAAAACCGGCGGCTTGATCGACACATGATGGACCGGCTCAGCACGAGCGGGTTCCATCGTGCCCTCGTTCGTCATGATCGTTAAAGTATAGCCGGTGTTTGCAATGCACTGAACAATTAAAATTTAAAACACCGAGTGCAAAATCCGAAAGAGCCAATGGAACGCCGAAATAAAATCACCGAGACGATAAATGCCTAACTAATCACACGGCGGAGAGATGGCACAGAAACCATCATGGAAAAGTGGCGCAGAAGCCACTGTAGAGCGACGGAATAGCAATCCATGTGGGGGAATAATATAAAATAATTGATTCGGGAATGAGCGGAGGCGACAACCCGGAAGTATGGAAAAATCGAACAAGAATCACGTCGGGGTCACCAATATGTGGTGCAGTGGGGCTGTTCACCACATATCAGTGACTGGATTTTACGTTAATCAGAAATGGAGAATATCAACCTGGTGCGTGTTCCAAAAATTCAATCAGTTCGATCCAAACGGCCCCAAGTAAAAGAATTAATTAAAAGAGCGGGTTGTTATATTTAAAGTTCCAAAACCAAGTCAAAAACCAAAACAGCGAATCAGACAATGGAGCGACGAAGAGACGAGAATGAAATCCAAGTTTGCCAAATATGCCCTGCCTAATCTAAGTTATAAATCCCGGACAGAACGGGCCAAATCGCGGAGCCAGACGTGACGCGTCTGCTCGGGCCAAGAGCTCGGCCAGAAGTCCCGGGGTAGCGCGCGGCCCGACGCAGCGGGCCGGGTCCAGACATGCGCAGAAGCACTCGGACACCACGTGGCTGCCGATCGGAGCGCGGATTGGTCACTGGCCGACGCACTGCGGCAGCGCAGGCCGCAGACACGCGGTCGCATCGTGATGGGACAAAGTTCACGAACAGACACGTCCTGGGCCGCCTCCCCAGCGCCGGGGCGGGGTAGCGACGTCACAAGTCGGCGCGCGAATCGGTCTGCGCCGGGAACTCCCGTGCCGGCCGGCGACACACGTGGTTACCACACATTTTCCCATGCTTAGTAGGAAGCGCTCGACGTCCCTTCCGTACGTGTCGTGGAAGGGACGTGTCTGTCATTGACGCACATCAACTAGATGGATCTTGATTGTAGCATTTCCAGCAGCGTTTCATCGTTCAGCGGCCTAACGCCTAGCCAGCTCTCATTTCGAGGGGGTGGTACTTTGCTGAGGAGCATGAGTGGTCACGCTGCATCGTGAGCCAGATGAAGCCGGTGGGCAGACCGTGTACCGTACATTTGCGTACATGATTTTGTCCCACGAACCTAAGCGATGCGCATTTTTGTCCACAAATTTACCTAATGTACTAATATATACCCAGCATGCCTATTAGTCGTTAGGGGGCAGCACCGGGCGTGGTGTATTGCGTAGAGGGCAGGACCTATGCAACAAAACTTGCTCCAATTCCGTTTTCATCGTGGAAGTAATACGCTGAATGGAGGATCATACTTTGATGTCCAACTTACGTACAACATAAAAAATAAATACCTCAAGGCTCAAGAATACTGTGATCATAGCAGTAGCTCGTGCTCGGCAGTGAAATCATGAATAGTGCTCATATACCGGATTTAGTGCAAAATGAGCTACCCTACACCCATTTAATATGCCAGATCTGGCATCGCCTCTATACTAACTAAAATAGTGCGGAATGACCGGATATACCTGTGTTTGACAGGAATTGCCTGCGAAAAGACAATAGTGCAAACTGAACTTATGATAGTGCAAAATGACTGAAATTTAGGTACTGAAAAAATTATCCCCCAAAAACAATTAATTGAGGTGTTCGTGACTTTATTCATTCATTAGGTACCTTGTCATAAGCATAATCCACGGCCGTTTAACAGCCAACAAAAATGTGCCTCGTCGACATGGCTAAACAGACAAGAAACAACCGAATCAAGTAGGGGAAAGTGGGGTAAGACGGTCAGGGTAGGTAAGACGGGCACCCCTTCTGCAGACCAAACCAATAGCGCTACGAGCGAGAAAAATTAGGACCAGAATTGTCTTTCCCACTACACACCACCATTGAAGTTTGGTGATTTTGTGTTCAGTCGATAATCTTTTATTTTGATTTCTTTAAAACACTAATTTCATTGAAAACATCCATAATGTATTGTGCAAGTTTTTGTGTGCAGCACTATACAGCTAAAAACTCGCAATCACTTGTGGTACACTCATATGCCACCAGTGTTCATTTACCGCGGATTTGCTTTGTCTGCATCAAATTGTCCACAGAGAAAAATTGTGCTGAACTTCTTACATTGAGTTAGGGGTAAGACGGGCAACTATGAATCCAATGGGTCTGTAATGGTGAAAATATTTTTGTTGCTGTAGGAAAAAAAGAAGCATTTCTTATAAGAATATCTTCGATTCCGATACTCACAGACATGTTAGCAATATTCCTTCGGCACAGTTTATTCTCGAATGATGAATGTGAAAAACGGTTCTACATGACTTCTGATCTAGGGCCTATATACGAGCATACGCCTTCTGCACAAATCTTGTATACTGCCATTTCCGAGGCACTTGAGACCAACGAGCGACTGTATCAATGCAGCTAATTTCGGGCATTTGTTGCGAGCTGTACTGGTCGGTGAAAGAAGCTGGCCGTCTTGCCCTACCCATGTGACCGTCTTACCCCATGGGGTGGGGTAAGACGGGTTTTTGCAAGGTTTTGCAAAAATAGCTGCAGTTTATTTGTTGAATCAGGTCTAAGTCTCATCTTCTGGCAAATGAAAGTAAAATGTCTAAAAGAGGTTTTCACTCAGTTTCCCGTTTCTATGATGTTTCTAACCGGCCGAAAAATGGCTCCAAAGTTAAGGTGTCCGTCTTACCCCACTTTCCCCTAGGTACTTGTTTCAAGCGCACCAGACGCAAAATACCCCAAACGGACGATATTGACACGAGCCACGGAGCATGTCCGCAAGGCTTCACAACGCTGGACTACAGCTACTGGTGATTTGAGGTCGCAGCAACCGCAGTTACCAACAGCGCAATATCTGAGAATTATTTTCGGGTGGGCGATTAGCAATATTTGTACTGCAATGTCAACATATACCAGAGGCGCTGAGCTGCGTTGATCTTTGTATCGCGTCATGCCGTTATGCTATCAGGGGAGAGCAAATCTGTACAAATTTTAAGGGACTGTCAGTAACTAAACTCACTGGAGAAGCCGCGAGCAACAAAATAATTACGAAACAATATGCTAAACGCATAGAAACCAGCCGCAATCATGGACCCAATGAACGAGTACAAAAGGCCCCTGGTATTAAAAATTACGACTTTTATCTCCTAACGGATAAAATCACTTGTTTAAACACAGCATAACCCCTACCAAGCAGCATTAACAATTTGATTCCCAGCCTTCACCAAGAGGTATTTTCTTTCAATTATTAGAGGAGCACACCAGTCGAATGGGCGGAGCTACTAATTACTGGCGGGTAAGACGCGAGCACGCATGCCACACTATGATGTTGGCCTCAAAATCACCTGACAAAAATGATGTTCGACCGCATGACACTTATCATCACACACGCACGCCATAAATGAATGATTGTCCGAACGGTGAAAGCAAATAACGGAGGTCGTTAGGTCACACTCGAAGAGTATGACTAGAGTCGTAGAAGGCACCCACGAGGTGCAAGATGCCGCTTGAACTAGCTCGCCGGTGGGAGTCAGCCTCACAGCTTCGCCTGCGGGGAAGCCACGGTGACATCGACAGCCGGAGGCACGTGTGGGAAGTGTCCGTGAATCGCTTTGAACGCAGGGACGTTCATGATTTCTTCGGCGTCCTGGTAGACTGGCGGCGCACAGAGACCATCTGGCAGGCACGGCGACAAGTCCTCACACAGCGTCGACAGCACGTGTGAGGCCAGCTTGCGGCGCCTCGGCGCCGTGTGACAGATGTGCGTCTCAAAGAACTTGAGTAGTTCCTCGCGCTCTACGGTCTTCAGTTGCTCCACCTCATCCAGCTCACGACCGAAGCAGTACTGTCGAATCACGATTTCGTCCCAGTGCCGTGTGAACTCTTCCACCAGGTTCTTGGGCTTCTCCAGCTTGCGTGTCTTGAGAGCCTCCTTGTGGTTGGAGAACTCCTCGGAGCTCATGTCGCGCAGGTGATCCACCATGCTGTGCAGGAAGGCCTCGATACGCCGGTCAACGTATTCAGGTGGCTTGTCCGACTGGACGATGACCCGCAGGCCTTGTGTAGACGTCGAGCGACGGACAGTGCAGAACACAATGTAGCCTAGCTGCTCCTTGGTACGTAACTGATCGAAGCATGGTTCGTTCAGCATCTGAACCAGCAAGTCCAGCAATGTGTTGTCACGCACACTCTGGAGGCCACACTGATAATAGACGTCAATGCTGGAACTCTTGTGAACCTTGTTGGACTTCTGAAGCATGTAATACTTGCCATCATCTAGCATCGTCTCGCGATCAATAGTCTGTAGAGCTGCAGGTATCGGACGTGTGCCAAACCCATCGCGCAGTCGTGTCTCGACGACCTGCACGAGCTCTAAGGCACGATCGCGAGTCAGATTTCCCTCCAGAAGGCACTCGAGATGAAGCTTGCTGAGCAGCAGCGGTAGAAGACGTTCCACGGCCTCCGCCGTCAGTTCGTCAGCAACCTCCAACAGATCTTCATCCTCCCAGTACTTCTCCGAGAGAACGACATGCATCTTGTGAGCGGCGTGAACATACGGCTGTTCCGCTGAGAAGTTGCGCAAGGACCGCAGGTACTTCTCCTTCAGAATGTCAAAGCGCTCTCGGTCAACTTTAAAGTCGACCAGCACGTCCATGACTTTGCGCAGAAGAACGTCAAGTTTGTGACTAAACCCAGCCACCTCCATCATCATGCCGCGCCGGCTGAGCCCCAAGTTGTAGCGGACGCCAGCCACGCTTGCTGCATAAGCGTAGTCGTTCAAGGCGTCTTTGAAGAGCATCGTGAAGAGCTGTGTCACGTTGACCATATGTGGATCCGAGTAGGCCAGTGGGTTGAAGAGCTCAACCTTGACGATGGACTTGGGCAGCTTGAACGTGTCGTCCTGCTTGAACCACACACGGCAGAGTGGCGTGTTGGAGATCATGACGGGCACCTTCGGCGCCTCTGCGTCCCGCTCCACTATGTCAAAGTCTGAGGGGATGAACTCGTTTGGCTCTGGCAAGTGCAGCGCAGCGTTGGACTCTATGTTGCGCCATCTTTCCAGGGTAGTTTCCGGAATGTCTTGAACGTTGTACTGCACTCCATACCAACGCTCAGTAGAATCACACTCGGACTCGTACACCTTTCCAACTAGAATCATGCGCACGTTGTCGGGATTCAAGAGGTCAGTCACCTTTTTTAGCACCTCTGGGTCGTACTTGTCCGTGATGTATTCCGCAGAAAGAACTTCTTCCATCGGATAGTAGTACAGCAGCGTTGCCAGGTTAGTAGCGTAGTTTGTTGGCTTTTCCTTGTCCTTGAAGCGGAACGACATCTCACGCAGCTGACGACACTCCTCGAACACCCACTCTTGTGGCCCTCTCTCCCTCAGCATGGCCAGGTACTGGAATACGTGGTCGGCCACTTCATCAACGCATCGCTCACCCTCTTCGGTCAGGTCGATACTGATGTTGATGAACTGGTAGCCACGGACGGGAGCACAGGGGCCCCCGATAAGGGAGTTAGCCCATCCCCGCCGTTTCAGCTCGGCAAACAGGCTCCCTGGACCCTCGTGCCCGACCAAGTGGCCGACGTAGTGGCCCGGGTCAGTATGATACCACGGATGCAGGTCCGGCACGGGGAATTGAAGCTTCAGCTTGCGAAGCTCTTTGATGGGTGTGACGCGCACACACTTCCCAACTTCGTCGGGGCCGCAAGGATGCTCGGGCCACGTGGGAGCCTCCACGGACTTATCTTCAACGCCAGAGAACAGACTGACGGCCATTTCCTCGAGCTCGTCCAGTGACTCCTTGCCGACCATCACCAGGCCCATGATATTAGACGAGTACCACTCATGGTGGAATTGCAGCAGCCGCTCACGCACGTCCGGCTGGTTGAGGGTCTCGCGGTTCCCCGTGCTGAACTTGCAGTGTGGGTGACCAGGTCGCAACGTGCTCGACTGAACCCGCATCAGTCGCCACTGGTCGTTGGCCACGTTTTTCTCGTGTTCCGAGTGCACGGCGTTCATTTCGCGCTCAGTGCTGCTTTCATCAAACAGAGGAGAGATGAAGAATTGAGCGAACCGGTCCAGCGCGCCCTTGAAATGTTCCGGCGCAACGTCAAAGTGATAGTTCGTTTCATCGTTGGACGTGTACGCGTTGCTGCTACCACCGTGGTCGTTTAGAAACTTGGTGTACTCGGCCTCATTGGGATACTTTTTGGTACCCATGAAGAGCATGTGCTCGCAGAAGTGAGCCAAGCCCTCGACGTCCTGCGGGTCCGAGAGGTGGCCGACCTGGACGGCCATGGCGGCGGCCGCCTTGTCGGCCTCTGGGTCGCTGACAAGCAGGACGCGCAGGTTGTTGGCCAGCAGGAGACCGCGGTGTCGGCGCCGGTCCTCGGCAGACTGCCGGATCGAGTCGCAGCGCTGCTTGACTGTGGCCCCCATCGCCAGCGTGGAACTCAGACGCCGGCCAGATGAGGTGAGCCCCGTCAGCGTGCGCAGCATGCCACGCCCAAAGGCGAAGCTAGAACAGGCCACAGCCACCAGTGACTAAGTAAAATATCTGCCAACCAGGCTTCTTGTGAAATGAAAAGACTAGATTTAATCGTTGCATACGTGCACAGGATCAGAAAGTCCTTATTCTCTCTGAAACAAAGAAAACATGCTGTAAGCAGGTATGTACATAAAAAATACGATTAGCCAATTCAGGAAAAAAAAACATATGCATTTGTTTGAAAATTCAAAGTAGGTACGCTAATAACTTATATGACTTCATCTATGGAAGAGCACTAGTTGTTGGAAGCAAACGTCTTATCGAATATCGATTGTTGATTGAGTCAACATATACATATAAAGCAAATCATATTCTCAACTTCAGTAGCACTTAGTAGTCACAAGTTTTTTTTTGTAAATTTAGTCCGAACCTTTTGATAGGAAGGATTCACAAGGATAGAGCCACCGCTAAGCGAAGCTTGTTGCGGTGACACTGCCCTCTACCCTCCGATCGCGCAATTCCAGTTCTATGGCAGAATTTAGAGTCCAAAGTTTAACGTGCGCACATAGTCGCGCACGGCCGGTCCCCTCACTGACTTCGCCTGGCTACGGCCTGCCACCAACCGCAACCATACTTGTCAGGAAGCCCATAAATGTCAAGCGCCCATCGCGCTTCGAACCCGGACTGTTATAACCGGGAACGCGTGTTCTCACCACGCGGAGTCCAACGCTCTACCAACTGGGCTACGGGACCGGCCAACTGAGCTACCAGAGGACAGTTCGCTCCTGGTGAGTGATTGTGATGTCCTGCGGGCTGCGGGCCGAGATTAGCGGCAGTTGCTCACATTACACGTAAGTTGAAGTATGACTGTGGGAGTTAGTGACGACAGTGACTCAGAGGTGGCCTAATCTAGACCTGCTATGTTCCATGACAGGCTGCTACCCTGAGGCCACCAGGTATTACTTGGCAGTGGTTTTTAGCAGTGTTGTATGCAACAGGGCCCGGGTGTACTGCTAGAGGTCAGGGGCTAAGGCCAAATCAACTTGTGCTTGCTCCATACATACTTTTCTGAGGGTTCTATGGAATGTAAGAATGAGATACTAACATTAAAATCATGCTTGTAACTACTTCTTGTTCTTCTTGGTGGATTACGGCACATTGCCAGCAGGCTCAAGCATCCACTTATGATGCTCACAGACAGAGGCAAAAAATGAATAATGAAAACTAAACCATTAGAAGGTAGGTACTCTATACCAAGATTCTTACAGACCCTATCCTATACATAGCTAGTTTTTTTTTGTGCACTGGCCTGAAGCCAAAATGGAAAAACTTCTGTACATTACGCCAGACGCCCATGCACCGAAATTTCACTGAAGTGACTTTGCGCTGAAAATTCAGAATGGCTTGCGCCAAAAAATTGGATGCTTATTAACCCTAAAACCAAGCCACTTAGCACATTTGCAGAGTGCACACCTACACCTGTCTGACCAAGGCTATACATAGGTATCAACCAGACAAAGCGTTCCGGGTCAGAAGAGACAGTGCATCTCACGAGACATGTTTATTTCTGGCAATGTCGATGCTCTAAATCAGTGGTCGGCAGGTCCTCCGGGGTCGTGCCCCCTTTTTTGGCGCCAGGCAGGGCCATTACCCCCACCTACCAGACCCCATTGGTGATACAACCAAGGTTACTGAAATTCCATACTCTTCCGTGACTCTTTGGGTACCATATCTGCGAGAAACCGCAGGCCCCCCCCTGCGGTTCTCGCAAATATCTCAAAAACGTTGGCACGGAGCGCCACCATTTTGGAACATTCTATCATACATCGCTTCTGCACATGTTGTGAATATTTCAGACCAGAGTCACTCAAGGTCAGGTCACCAGATCACGTCAAGTGATCTCACCTCAGTAAAGACTGCAACGCCTGCTTTAGCTGCATTGAGTGACAGATCTCTTTCAAGCTTTCAGGAATTGATAAAGGCAACAACATGTACAAAATTTGTATCTCGGAGATTTGATGTCGGTGACCAAAGTTCAGGTCAATTTCACGCCCTCTCCCATTATCAATGGGAGAGGGCGCAAAGTCAATGGTAGAAAATTGAAAGGCGCCTGTTTTGGACCAGTGTCATTCCTAACACTGTGACACTCTTATTTACAAGTAAACATGACCGCTGAACCGGAAAACTGCACCCGTACCCCACTGTATGTCCCTGAGGTCATTTCAGGTAATCAATGGTATCTAACAGCTATTCGCTAATAACTTTGATAAAGGCATCGCAGAGCGATGAAAATGCCTTAGATGTGTTCAGCTCGACGATACGGGTCGACTGATGTGCAACAAAACCTTCGATGCTTCTCGACGGGAGGATCACGATGCTGATAAAAGTGAGCTCTTGCAAGTTTTGAGTGAAAAGTTATTTAAGAAAAACTATCAGCAAGCAACGTACATTTTCAATTTTGGCAGCTTTTGTCTCCTGCAGGCTAAACCATCTTCGGTTGAATCTGAGGACAGGCATCAGAAAAAACGTTAAAGGGACCCTCCCACCTTCAAAAAAGTTAATGAATTGGCACGAAAGTGATGTCGCTCGGTTCAGAAAGAGCGAAAACGAATATCTACCAAATTTCATCGAAAAATATTCACCGGTTTTCAAGATATTAGACTTTTACTTTTGTTTACTTTTTGGGATCTCCGCTGTTCCTAGCGACTTTATTTGAAAGTGCGGCATTTGTTGCGCGCAAAGCAGCATATACCACCGCGTGCTACCAAACGTTTTAGTAAAAGAATTAAAAATCGTTAGATCTCCGCTGACGTCACAAATTCTAAGGGGGCATACCAATGCACTAGCCCCTTAGAATCCGAAAACTGCAAGTTTGAAATTCCATATCTCCGAATTAAAGCATTTGTCGATGTTGTGAGTGCCCAAACCGGTATTTGCAGGCCATGGCCACCAATTTGGCTATCTCAACTCAAAACTAATGTTAAGGTGGGAGTGTCCCTTTAAGAGAGCTATCGAATGCGTTTTTCCGCAGCGCTGTAGCTCTATCCTTTCCTGAGCTATAGGCCAGTTTATCGAAAATTGTCAAAGGTTGACCTGGAACTTGGCGAAATTTTACGTTCGATGACCTCTGGTGACCTGACCTTTGATTTGACCTAAAAGGTGACCATAGTTTTTTCTTCATCATTTCTTACGCTCTTTCGATCGCCGACTACGGCGTTTCGCTAGTGAAACAGGAGCCAAGTTAATAGGGGGTGTTCAACCTCCATCTCCAGCAGGGCGTGGAAATCCAGGAGCCCCAGCGGGGCGCGGGTTAACCCCCATACGTATAGGTGTAGCGGGTATTTTTCAAGGATAGATCAGATCACGAAAAAAACTGTACCATCGAGCCGATCATTTTTATCTGTCCTGAAAATGGCATGACCTTAACCCGAATAACCGTTGATTTGTGAGATCTTTCTTGAGATCATGGCAGGCCACAAAATCTCACCTCAAGAAGTTACAGCAGGACCCGATTAACTCGGCAGTTGTTATTGACCTATGGAAGGTCACCCAATGACCAACGACCTTTAAATTGGGTAGCAGCAGCTGCTTATCTTCACGGGCAACACGCTCAATTTTTCTGCAAAGCTCCAGCTCAGAGACCGAGATGCTCAGGTCAGGGTGCAATGGACGACTCCTCTCCCTTGCGTTAGTGACTGTGAAAACGCCAATAGACGAGCGCCGGCTAGTACATGACAGTTACTTTCCACGACTGTACGGAATGGTGAGCAGCTACATGAAAATTGGCATGCGCCAGCTAATCAGTTCATGCTTTGTGCGTTTGACCTCGACTAATCTTTGAATCCTGGGGCACAATAGTTGCGATGTTTGTCCCATCAAGGGAGCCATTAATTCTAAAAAAGATGAGGCTTTCTCAAAGGCCCTCATTACCCCCCGCCGAAGGGCGCCATTACCCCCAAAGGGGGCATGCCCCACCATTTGCCGACCCCTGCTCTAAATTGATAAAGTTGGCTTTTGCCTTTTGCACGTCAAGTCGTATTCACTAACCCGACACCATGGAAATGTAATTTTATAAAAAGGGGAATTATCAATAATGTAGACCGTCATAAGATGTTTCATATATGGAGCCGCAGCTTGAGGAGCCTTTCTTGATGATGAGGCATGGCTGATGCGACGGTTGTTTTCAGTAGTAACTTCCTTGTATTCTACAGAGAAAAAACAATACGGAAAAAGACCTGTACGTAAGCCAAAAAATAAAAATGAAAAATTCCGGGACACCCTACCACTTCAGCGCCACAACGAAAATGCCGAGTATCAACGCTGGAGACGAGAAGTCTAGTGGAGATTCAAAGATTTTTATGACGTCATTTGTACGTCATTTTGATAGTTCTCTGGTAGAAATTGACAATTTTGTAAGGCATTTTTTGACTGAACCATGGATGAGATAATAATGAAATGAGATAGTGTTATATCATCCATGACTGAACTGGCATAATAAATCATAAAAGATTTTAAAAAATAGTTTCCTAAAACAAGCCAATGCTATGAAAACCATCCTTGCTGACCTGCGTTTGCGTTGATAACGGAAAAATTATTTAAATATCTACGACGTCATTATCGTATTATGATGCCTAGAAAAATATACATAACTGGCGCAGCTGTTACAATCAATGGAAAAATACGGCAGGGAAGTGCAGGGAAGTATAAAAATAACGGAGATGTTTTATCTTGCCTGAAACGTCAAATTTGTGACTGGGGCTTTACTTTCAAACATCGGATCTACCTGTTTCTTATAGGTATCTTGCCTGAAACCATCCCTTGTGCGTTCCAAGGCTATGCGTTGCAATTATGCATTAAAAATAGCGTGCAGAATTAAGAAGCAGGCTCTGGGGACTTCACCGTCTTCTGCTTCTTTCGCTAAAAACGTTCGTCCAAATGACAAAATGGTGTTTTTTCGACAAAATCTAATTTCTAGTGCAGTATCGTCAATCAAACACAGTTGGGGAAACTACGAGGCGAATGTCAAGAAATGGATTGGTCAATAAATGGACTTTTGATGACCATATATGGGCATAAATGCAGTCCCCGCTACAAAGGGTGAAAAACGGTATAACAAGCCGGTACTTGCGGTATCGCGTCCACTTATTGGAGAGAAAAGGCTTCCATTTTTCACTAGGAATTAGTGTGATTTGATTAAATTCGGCGAATTGATTCGAAAATGGCGATAGGAAAACGGCTTTTCTGCAGGTTCTGGGCGTCACAATCAGCTGGCCATTCAATAAATGGATTGGTTTTTATTAAAGAAAATTGTTAAAAGATTTAGTTTAATTACAATAAACAAAAATATTTGATTCTAAAATAATAACTTAACTACAATTAGAAAAACCATAAACTTAAATCCGCCATATTTGCCAATCACGGTTTGACCTTGCGTTGTAACTCTGCGATTTAGAGCCGCCAGTAAATTATGCACCGGGTGAGTGTAGGCCTTAAGTGGTTAAAAAACATTCTTATGCCTTATTTTTTCAGTTGAATGCTAAAATTCATTGAAAAGATGAAGTTGTGTGATTTTATGACCATATATGGTCATCGCCCCGCCCGCTCCAGCCGCTGATTGGCTAATCCAATTTTTGCTTGGCTCCTCGTAGTTTCCCCAACTGAACAGGTGCTCAACGTGAAATCAAATTGATGTTGAGCCATGCAGCATTAACTCCGACTCATGAGTCGGAGTCGGTAAGATTTTGGCGACTCCGACTCCGGGCAGAACTGTCGACTCCGACCGACTGCAACTCCGACTCCGACTCCGCAGCCCTGCTAAGCCCAGGCTCAAAATCAAAATTGAATATAAACCACACCATATTGCGACAAACCAATCAACCTAGAAACTTGTTCAAATGAGCGTTTAATGTTCAAGAAATCGGTAAATGTGTAGATGAAGAACTGTTAAAATGAAAAACAATCTAATTGATCTATGCTTAGTGCTTACCTAGGTACCGAACTACAACCTTGAACCATGTGCCTTGAACATATAAACCTACAGCTATAGGTGGCCGAACGGGGAGGGCACCAGGGCACTGTGGCCTGTGCCCCCCTTTGATTTTGGCATTTTAACATTAGGCCTATGGGTGTTGCATGGAAAGAATGGGACCAAAATTCGGCTGTGCCCCCCCCCCCCCTTTATTGAAGGTGTTCCGCCGGGCTACAACCTACCAACTTACCAACTGTACTTCATCTATACATATCAATGTATAATGTCTCTTGAAAGTATCGCGACTCTGAGCCCTGAGGGAAGGCGCCACCTGTCCCAGCCGCGGTTGAGCGGAAAGGTTTGAGAGCCACTGGTAGCACTGGCCAAAGCCTGACACGCGAAGGCAGCCGGCGCGGCGGGCCGAGGGGAGTGGTTGCGGACTGCGGAGGGATAGGGGGAGGTGGGAGTCGCCGTCCGCTAACTGGTGATGGCAGTAAGCATGTGGTCAACGGAAGCCAACCTACTCGCAGATGATTTGTTGAGCTTTGTTTCATCGCAAAGCTAGTCATGTCAGCCGTCATCGGCACGACTGTCACATATTTAATCCGGAAACCCGTGCCCGAATACGAAAAAACATCGGTTGCATGCACTCGCACCCGCTAGCAGAATGCATCCGTGGTTGCAGACGCACCCGCGAGCGGGATAAAAAAGAGCAAAAGTTCTCCCTCTCTCTCTCTAGCCAATTCGCCAATTCGCTCTCTAGCCAATCAGTCCTATATTTGGAGTTCTCTCTTTTTAATGAGCCGGATAGTGAGAGGCGACAAAAAATGTTAACTGTTCAGCCGTCTTCTTTTTAAAAGCCTTATTTGATGCCAGGCTGCCCCCTCCCCTCATGACCTGTTGACGTCGTTCAGCAGGCCTCTTTACAGTAGGATTATGGCGGAACTTTGCTTCGATGTGATTTTCCCGTCACGCACACTGAGTGATTGGCGCCCACTAAGGCAGACCAACGAGCGCCCGGCTGGTGAGCCCAGGCGGCACCGCTATCCGCCTGGGGCGGGGGACCCGGGGACGGGGTCAAGGAAGAGCGATACGAGCATGACCTTTGGCCGGCCTCCGCCTGTTTTGACCCAGTTGTCAGCCGCTGGTGCCTGCGTCATATAGCAGTTTTCCTCCTACCGCTGGCGTAGAATCGTGTTACAGCGTACCTACTTTTTATGATACAGGCCATGACCTCACTGCTGGGGTCCCCAAACTGAATGGAATAGTTCGCCGAGCCGCTGCAGCCCCTGATGCGATACTTTCAAGAGAGACTATACCGAGCTTTTCACACAAAACATCATGAGTTATACCCAACACACCCAACCACATGTGGGGTCATCAGGTAAAATTGAACTAATGTTGGGTGATGTTAGGTGAGGTTATACTAGGTTTTGTCATCTATGCTTCTTGTAGTAGGTATACCTGATTTCTTGGTATAGGTGTAGATGAAGACTGAAGTATTGTCATGGGTCTTCTGTGTTCTTTGTCTGCATGTCAGCATGCATGCTCATTGCATATGGATATGTGCATGTGTGCGTGTGTGCCCGCCTATTCGTGCGCTCTATGTGTCTGTCCGTGCATGTGTGTGCTGTTCTTCCCGTGCGCTCTGCATACTGGATATCTGGCCGAGGGCTTAACCCGCGAGTTGCTGGGGGGGGGGGGGCTTTAAACGCCCCCACTTTTTTTCGCCGGGCCATAGCATAAAAACGGCGCGCCGTAGGCGCGCCAAATTTTCGGTACCTCTAGGGAATTGATTGAAGTCTATTGTGACAAAATTTGAAAAAAATCGGTCGGAAAATTTTTGAGATATCGAGGTTTTAGTGACGTCATGATTTCTGAGTTTTCGACCAAAGACGGCATATGTTCAAAAAATCATATAAAATCACAGAATAGACATAGAGACATGCCGTAAACGGCATTAGACTGCCAATACCTACCATGAACAATCAAATGGCTATCTTCGATTATTGATTATCGTTTTGCATTTGCCAAAATCTTGATCTGAATCTTGGCAATTTCTCGTGACTACTTCACGACCATGATACATACATTTCTTAAATTGAACTTTTTGAGCCAAACACGTACACATATGATAAAATGAATGTCACCATCGTGTTCTACGACCCAAATTACCCATAAAACATGTGTCACAGGCTGCGAATATCAGTTTTGATTTTCGGGGATATGTGCCTACCCGGTTGACCTGACCTTGACCCTGACCCATGCTTGACTGACCCCTACATGGGGCTGACACTCTTGTAGGCCTTATATGATGGATTGTGGCTTGTGCACCGTTTTGACAGAGTTTATGACGAGAGGCGCTCATTGCGAAGTCCTGAAGTCCATGCCACTGAAAGCCCGATTTCAGGTGTTTGACCTGACCTTGACCCGACCTGTGACCTCAAAATTCAACTTTAAAGTACTCATCTGAAGCGTCTCGTCGCGTTCTTTCGTTTGCCGCCTAGTGCGTTTCGCTGCGCCTATTGGTTCTCGAGTTATCGGCTGGGGGCGTTTAACGCCCCCCCCCCCCCAGCAAACGGTGGGTGGCGAAATACCCCAGCAACTGCCGGGTTAATGCTGCTTGTACAGTGCCCCTATTAGAAACCAAATCAAAGGCTTTTACGAAAGAGACTTGGACGTATATTACGCTGAGACATTTACCAAACAATAAAATTGAAATGAGAATATCCGATCTTGAAGCCCAACTTAAAGAGAAATGGCAACTATTTATCGCCGATGGTCGTCGTCGTATTCTATTCGTTCTTTTTGTATTTCGAGTCGCGATTTCTTCTTCTTTATTTCTGTCTTCGTCTTCGTGTCTTCGTCTTCTTGTTTCCGTCTGCTGGCTTTCGTCTTCGTTTAAAAGTAATTTTGACGGTTTCAGGGCTAAAGTAACACAATTTAAATAAAACAAAAAGGCAACTTAAACTAAATATCTACTTCTTCATTAACTTCACTTAAAATCCTTGTAGTATTCAAATTTTATTCTTCTTATTGTTGAGGTTATTCTCGAGCGCTGACTCTTTCGACACCACCGAGTCGCGGTGCACTTACACCCTCCCCAGTCACGCGCGCGAGTCAGTATGAGACCATCGCTTCTTCGGTTGGTACCAATAAAACAAGTTTGTTTACCGGTCGTCGCGTTGTCATCGTTTGCGTTTTCAGTTCGACAGTTCTAACTAGTCCGTTCAGGTCAGGGAAGGTTTTGGTGACGCGACCCAGCTTCCACAAGTTTCTCGGAGTGTCGTTCTCGACAATCACGACAACATCTCCGCTCTGGAGATTCGGTTTTCGATCGTTCCATTTTCGTCGCTGCTGAAGTGTTTGCAAATACTCTTTTCTCCATCTCTTCCAAAACTCTGACGCGAGGTGTTGAACTTGTTTCCATCTTCGTCTGCTGTAATTTTCGTTTGAGCTAAAATGACCTGGAGGCATCACCGGTTCGGAGCGCAGCAGCAGGAGCTGGTTTGGTGTGATCGGGTTCAAGTCTCTGTGGTCGCTAGACACGGTGGTCAATGGTCGGCTGTTGATGGTGTATTCCACTTCACAAAGGAGAGTTGCTAGACTTTCGTCGTCAAGCGTTTGACTAGATGTCGTAGAATTCAGTATTTTTCTGACTGTGCGGATTTGTCGTTCCCAGACGCCCCCCTGGTGGGAGGCACTAGGGGCATTGAAAGTCCATTTTATGTTCCGCTGCAGTAAAAAGGTTTCAATCTGCTGTTGGTTCCAGTTGGTGATCTCTTCTTGTAACTCTCTTTGTGCTCCTACAAAATTTGTTCCGTTGTCTGAGCGAATTTCTTTCACGTTTCCTCTCCTAGAAATAAATCTTCTCAATGCGTTAATGAATGAATCAGACGTGAGAGACTGCGCAATCTCTATATGAACAGCTCGTATACTGAGGCAAGTAAAGAGGACTCCGTATCGTTTTGCGTTGCCTCGCCCCCGTTTGACATAAAAAGGGCCAAAACAGTCCACGCCGACCGACGAGAAAGATAAATCGGGCCTAACCCGATCAGGCGGCAGATCGGCCATTTGCTGCATCAATGGTCTGCCTTGTAGCCGACGGCACTTTGTGCAGTCTTTAAGAACTCGGCGTACGTTGGCGTTCGCATGAAGTATCCAGAACTTCTCTCGGATGCAGGACAGTACGTGCTGGCGCCCCTGATGTCCTTCCTTTTTGTGAACGTGGTCAATAATGATGTCAGTTACGTGAGATTTGGCCGGAATAATAGCTGGATGCCGTGACTCGAACGGCTGGTCAGCCTGGTGCAAGCGTCCTCCGATGACAAGAAGCCCGTTCATTAAAATCGGGTTAAGACGATACAATGGGCTAGAGCGAGGAAGCTGATACTTCTTTAAACTGGAGCGATATTCTTTCATAAAATGGAGTTCTTTGGAAAATGCCTGACTTTGTACATACTTTATTATCGCCATTTCCGCGTTTTCTAGATCTTCAACCTGTAATGACTTTGTCGCGTCTTCTCTTTGGAAGTTTTCTGTCTGGCGAGCGGCAACTGCGTTCTTAAGTAAGTTTTTGAATCTTAACATGTACGACACTGCGCGTTTTAACCGGTGCCAGTCGGAGTATTTCCCTAGCAAACGATCAGTGGGGCTCGATTCGGTCGCTATTACTCCAACTTTTGCGCTTTTCTTAACTTCAGGGTCACCAAGTTCGACTTCCAGCGATGCTATTGGCTGTTTTGGCCATTTATCTTCTGTTTCCCACAAAAATTGCGGACCTTGTATCCATCTTGACTTAAAAAAGGCAGACACGGAACACCCTCTCGATGCTTCGTCGGCCGGATTGCAATGTGTCCCTACGTAATGCCACTGTCCAGGAGAAGAAAGATCGAGGATCGTTCCTATTCTGTTCGCTACATACGCCTTGAATCTGCTACTTGTGTTGTTGATATATCGAAGCACAGTAGTACTATCTGTCCAAAATGTCACGCTGTCTACAGGAATTTCCAACTCACGCTTAACTACAGCGCTCAAACGAGCGGCAACGGTGGCTGCAGCTAATTCCAGGCGCGGTATGGTAACTGCTTTGACTGGAGCAACTCGAGCTTTTCCGATGATAAATGAACAGTGAATCTTCCCTTGTTGGTTTTGAAGTCTTAAGTAGGATACCGCGCCGTAACCGGTCTCACTAGCGTCGGAAAAATGATGAACTTGACTCGTCACGATGGGGCCGAAACCTTCGGGTTTATAACACCTCCGAACACTAAATTCTTGCAAACTATGTAATGTAGAAAGCCAACAACACCAGCTCCTCTGCAGGTCATCTGAGGGTAAGTCGTCCCATGCTAAATTCAAACGACAAAGCTGCTGTAACAACGCCTTTGGCTTCAATAAAATCGGAGCAACAAATCCCAGAGGATCATAAATGGAACTCACTGTTGAGAGCATGCCTCGTCGTGTTGTCGGTCTTTCTTTTGTTTTTATCTTAAAGCTGAGCGTGTCCGTTTCCGTATTCCATAAAATTCCCAGAGCACGCTCTTCTGCATACGTCGATTGTGTTACTCGCAATGTTTCATGATCCGTGGCTCTATCTTCTTCTGGAACTGATGCCATGACTGCCCTTTCGTTGCTGACAAACTTGGTAAGGTGAAAACCTCCTCTTTTGCAGGTGTTTCTTAAATCTCTTATCGATTCAATGGCGTCGTCTACATCTGCTACGGATTTAAGACAATCGTCCACGTAGAAATTATTGTCGATTGTACGCTGCGTTTTTTGCCCACCAAACATGGCACTGAAATCGTCTGCTGTTCTCCGCAAAGCAAAGTTTGCGCAACTGGGAGACGAAATCGCCCCAAACAAATGCACTTTCATCCGATACTCTTCGAGTAGCTTCTCTGTGTTGCCATCGGGCCACCACAAGAATCTCAGATAGTTTCTTTGCTCTTCTGGAACGCGTACTTGGTGATACATAGCCTTTATATCTGCCATAAAGGCGACTGGTTCTTGACGGAAGCGCAAAAGAACGCCAACAAGGCTATTAATAAGATCTGGTCCCTGCAACAAATTATCGTTCAACGAAACACCGGCGTATTTAGCGGAGCAGTCGAAAACTACCCTCGTTTTTTTTTTCGGGCTTGGCGGGATGGGTTACGGCATGGTGTGGTAAATACCAGACATTGTATTGTCGCCTCGTAGAGGTGTCTTTGTCTTCTACAGGAACTACTTCCGCGTGACCATCGTCTAAGAGCTGTCTCATATAAGCGGTGTAACGCGCGTGTACTTCTGCACTGGCGTCAAATTTTTTCTTCAATGCCTCTGCTCGTTTTTCGGCCATTTTTCTGTTATTCGGCAAGTCTATCGGTGCATTCCTAAAGGGCAACCCGATTTCGTAGTGACCGTTCCGGAGTACGATACTTTCTTTTACCTTTTCTTCCCACAATTTGTCTTCGCGTGACAAAGAATCGCTGTCGTTTTTCTCTATGAAGTCGGTGTTGTACATGTCAATGAACATTCTCTCGATCTTGTCGTTGTTCGCGTCGGTTCGTCGTACAATTTTTGAATGGTTATTCTTACTGGTAAGTGGAATTCTGGGTCCTACGATCGTCCAGCCAAGGATTGTTCTTACGGCATACGGTCCGCCATCTTGACTCCTAATCACCTCCCACGGCTCCATAGCACGAGGACAGTCACAGCCTATAAGCAGACCGACGTGATCTACCTCAACCTCAGGGACAGTTACGTGCTTGAGATAGGGCCAGCTTTTAGTTAAACTGTGATCAGGTACGTCACTTTTCGAAAGCGGTATTTCTTTTATTACAAAAGTTGGGGGTAAGTATACATTGTTGTGGTCTTCAATGTCGGATACTTGGATGCCTGTGACAATATGACTTTGGATAGTGCTTTTTCCTTGCTGAATAGTGGTTAAAGTAAGAGTTGTTTCATCGCCAATCAAACCAAGCTTGTTCGCTATACGTGCTGTGATGAAAGTCGCAGAACTGCCGTTATCTAGAAAAGCATACGTCTTACAGGATTTCCGATTTGAACCCGTTAATATTACGGGCAAGACTGACATGACAGGCCCAGCATTTTCTTCTTTGACGTTACAACACGTTTGTTCTGTCTTATTCAAGATCTCCGCGGAGGATTCGTTTTTTGCGTGCAATAAAGTCGGGTGATACTTTTCGCAATGTTGACACTGAAGTCTACTGCGGCATTGTTTTGAGACGTGTCCAGTCTTCAAACAGCCAAAACACAGTCGGTGTTCTCGTACTACTTGCAGTCTGCGGTCTATTCGCAATCTTAAAAGTGATTCGCAAGCCTCGATACTGTGAGCACCTTTGCAGTACAAGCAATGCATGTTTACTTGAAGTTCTTGCACAACATCGGAATTTTGAGGGCGTTCGTCGTCGGCTTTCGTCGAGAAAGACGTGCGATTTTTCGGTTTCGTTTGTTCGTTTGCTTGTGTCATTCGCTTCGATTTCGCAAACACGGTCATTTCCTCCGTTCCGAATAATGGATCGGTCATCATGTCGACTTCTTGTTCCACAAATTTTACTAAATATGACAAATTTGATTGTTTTCCTTCTTCATTGAGATGGTACACCGTACTTCGCCTGTCGCCATCGCTCCTGTAAGAGAAATGGGAATTTGCTGACTATGTGTTGCAGATTTTTCGGGTGATTAATTTCGCTTAACGTACTTATGTCTTCAGTTGCGTTTAAACAGCTTCTTAGCAGCACTGCAAAATCATCAAAAGCATTCGCGTCGCCTGACTTTATACAAGGCCATTGAAGGATCTTGTCCATGTACGCCGTTGCAATTTTGTGTTCGTTTCCATACCTTCGTTCCATTGCTCTTCTAGCTTCTTCGTATCCTTTGACTGGGTCGATATTCATGTAACTGCGTACGATATCATTTGGCCTTCCTCGTGTAAACTGATCGAGAAAGTTAAGTCGTTCGGAGCAATCGTTCGTCCTATCGGCAATTCTACTCTCGAATGCACGAATGAAACTTCTATACTCCAATGGATTTCCATCAAAAAAGGGTAATTTCGATTGTGGTAAAAGGCTCCGTTTTTGCTGCGTCAAAAGAGAACTTATCGCCAACAATCCCTCATCCTTCAATGCTCGGTCGGCGTCATGCTGCATATCTTGCTGCCTATCTTTTGAATGCCTAAGACTTTGTGCCGAAGTAGAGCCCTGCTCCGCTTGCGTTTCTAATGCAGCCCTTCGTGCCTCAGAAACGGCTATTTGTTCCTCGAAATCCAATTTGGCACGTTTCATTTGGAGTTCTAGTTCTTGAATTTGCAGCCGCTGCTTTTCTTCTAAAACCGTCATTTTTATTTTCAGTTCAGCCTTTCTGGCGACTTCTGAAGCGATTTGAGATACAATGCTCGATGACGCGACTGAATCAAAGGACGTTGTCAGCGACCTTTCTGAGCTTCCGCTCCTTATTTCCTCGTTTGACATTGCATCATTCAATCTCTTCAGTAATTCTGCCTTTCTTCCTTTTCTTGACAGCCCCCTCTTCTCGAGTTCTTCCTTTATAGCTTTTGTTGTCATTTCATTGGTTATTCTTGCGATTGGCATTGCCTTGAGCTTGGTTTACTTCAGCTTTGCCTTACGTGACCTTTTAACGTTACGTTACCTTGCGTTACGTTACGTTACCAAATTACTTTTAAACTTGTGTACAGTGCCCCTATTAGAAACCAAATCAAAGGCTTTTACGAAAGAGACTTGGACGTATATTACGCTGAGACATTTACCAAACAATAAAATTGAAATGAGAATATCCGATCTTGAAGCCCAACTTAAAGAGAAATGGCAACTATTTATCGCCGATGGTCGTCGTCGTATTCTATTCGTTCTTTTTGTATTTCGAGTCGCGATTTCTTCTTCTTTATTTCTGTCTTCGTCTTCGTGTCTTCGTCTTCTTGTTTCCGTCTGCTGGCTTTCGTCTTCGTTTAAAAGTAATTTTGACGGTTTCAGGGCTAAAGTAACACAATTTAAATAAAACAAAAAGGCAACTTAAACTAAATATCTACTTCTTCATTAACTTCACTTAAAATCCTTGTAGTATTCAAATTTTATTCTTCTTATTGTTGAGGTTATTCTCGAGCGCTGACTCTTTCGACACCACCGAGTCGCGGTGCACTTACACTGCTAGACCGCATTTCGCTGCCGCCTGGTCCCGCTTGCCTGCGCGCATGACTCGTACTGACGGATGGCTTGTTTTCAGGTGCATGCTTCTCACTTGCTTCTTCTCGACAATACACTCGGCCATACAACATTCATCTGTTGACCCTACTAGGAGGGGAGAGGCTTTAAGGAACGTCACAGTATGGTACCAAAAGCTTAATGCCATCAGCTAAACATCATTTCAGCTAAACTGAAATGTTTATAAGTCACAAAGCTGTTGTTTTTCGTGATTAAATTACCAACCAACCAACCATTCCACCAAGACCAACAGTTTTATCAGATTTTCACGCGTTTGTTTTCAGGACAGAGGATGATGAATCATTCAAAGGTTTAATGGATGCTGCTTCCTGTTCTGCTGGGTCTCCAGTGGAGGCCCCAGTCACAGAAAATGGGGACCTCACTACCATTGTTGGTGCTGTCAGGTTAGTGTTAATAGTGTCGTATTTGTATTGTTTGGTACCATCATTCAAAATTGTTTCATTATTTTTTGTTGTTTCATATGACAGCACCTATGGTGCAATGTTATATCTGTGTCCCACAGTCACAAACTGACCTGTGGTGACCTCACCTGGCCTCTCTGGTGACTTCACCTGGCCTCTGGTGACCTCACCTGGCCTCTGGTGACCTCGCCTGGCCTCTGGTGACCTCACCTGACCTCTGGACAGGGACGATGACTGTGCGCCGGCCGGGGCGCGCTCCTGCGAGTCTGCGCTGCAGCCCGGCTCGTCGGACGGACCGCGCAGCTCCCGATGGGTGACGCTGAACGTGGGAGGCAGGCTCTTTACCACCACCGTTGCCACGCTGACCGGCGCCGAGCCGCACTCCATGCTGGCCAGGTCAGTGACCGGGACGGCGGTACCGGGACCAGTGCGCAATTCCCCGCGCTGAGGGCATCCGCTGGGCGTGAGTACTCTATGCCTCGGGCTCCGAACAATAATAGAGTGGAACGCAATGCACCGTTTTACATGACTTCGTACCTCACCATAAACAAGTAACCGTTGAATCTGTCGTGGATCGGCAAATATTCCGTTGTTTCTGAGTTTATGACCGCGAGTTTGCGGTGTTGCGTTTCAGGATGTTTTCCGGCGGCACGGAGTGGCTCCGGCCGAGTGACCGGGACGGTTCGGGCGCCTACCTGATCGACCGCAGTCCCACCTACTTCGAGCCGCTGCTCAACTACCTGCGCACCCGGCAGCTGGTGCTCGACCAGGGCGTCAACCCGGCAGGTCAGGGGGGGGGGGGCACTGGGTACTGAGACCGTCGGGGGGGGGGGGGGCAGCGGCTATCGGGCTGTTCGGATTGTCGGCTGCGGAGAGGGCTGATAGATGTCGCGCCAGGCGGGTGGGAAGGCCACGCTCGGGAGCTAAATTCGCGTCTGTTATTTCATTTTAATGTCATTTATTTCAAAAGCCACACACAGATAAAACCTATTGACGGCGGAATGTCCTCATATTGAATGTCCTCATGTTCGTGTATGATACAAATGCATTGATTCGTGTGTTTTATATGTGATAATACTGTGCAGATTATCCTCGCATGAGGCGAATCTCTCAACATTGCAGGCAAAACTGAACATAGTTCCAGTCTATCCTGTGTCCCAGGTGGAAGCAATCTGCATCTCTGAACATTATCGCCGACTGCTGAGCCCCTGCTGTGCCCATGCCATTTTGCTGAGCCTCGCCATCTGAGCCCCACCGTTCGCCAGAGCGCCGCCGTGCCCAGAGCTCCGCCGTGCCCAGAGTTCCGCCGTGCCCAGAGCTTCGCCGTGCCCAGAGCTCCGCCGTGCCCAGAGCTCCGCCGTGCCCAGAGCTCCGCCGTGCCCAGAGCTCCGCCGTGCCCAGAGCTCCGCCGTGCCCAGAGCTCCGCCGTGCCCGGACTCCCGCGGTGCCCTTAGTCTCACGGGGCCCCGAGTCCCGGACTCCCGCGGTGCCCATAGTCTCACGGGGCCCCGAGTCCCGGACTCCCGCGGTGCCCTGAGCTGCGCCTCTGGCCACAGGTGTGCTGGAAGAGGCGCGCTACTTTGGCATCGACTCGCTGCTGAGCCGACTGGAGGCGATGGTGGCCGGCGCGCCGCAGTCGCCGCCCAGCGCCGATCACGCGCCGCTCACCCGCCGCGAGGTGGTGCGCGCGCTGCTCAGCACGCCCAGCGAGGCCAGCCTGCGCTTCCAGGGCGTCGACTTCACCGGCGCCGACCTGTCCAAGCTGGACCTGCGCAACATCAACTTCAAGTATGCGTGTCTGCGGGACTGCAACCTGAACAGCTGTAACATGACGGGCTGCTGCCTGGAGCGGGCCGACCTGTCCGGCGCGCGCATGGACTCTGCGCAGCTCTCGTGCGTGCGCATGCTCTGCGCCAACCTGGAGCTCACCTGTATGCGCTCGTGCAACTTCGAGGACCCCGGCGGCACGCGCGCCAATCTGGAGGGTGAGGCGCTCAGACGGACTCCCGTTGTGGTGTCTGTTTTGATTATTGTAACAGTGAATTGACGTTGAGTTGTGCGGTAGCTATGACGTGCGCATCTAATTGTGTATTTTTAAACAACCATTTGGCCGTGAGGGTATAATTTCATGGCGCAGTGTTTTCCTCTGTTTTGTAACCGGTTGTTAAAATTTGATGTCATTATGACCCTCCCTTTACATGCGACATTATGTGCTGTCGCCAGGCGCCAATATGAAGGGAGCCATTCTGACGGGCAGTAACATGTCGTCCATTAACCTGCGCGTGGCCACCCTGAAGAACGCCAACCTGCAGGACTGTGACCTGCGGCTGGCCATCCTGGCCGGCGCCGACCTGGAGGTGAGTACCGAGGTCGCCAGTGAGGTCTGTGGGGTCGGCTGGTCGGCAGGGTCGTGGATGCGGTCACTAGAGCCTAGCTGAAGTCATGGTGCTGGAATGGATCTCCTGAAGTCACTGCGTCCAGGCTGGGTGGGGAGTGACAGGCGTGGGGCCGACGCTGGTCCGAGCTGGCTGGATTTGAGGCGGACCCCGGAACGGGGGGTCATTGGGTGGCTATGGGACGCCGCCGGCCGTCTGAGGGGACGGTGTGATCGACGGCGCTGATGGTACCATCAGCGGTCACTCAGCCGAGCCGTTCAACAGAAATGGGCCGGGGAGCGCCGCGATGGAGCATTCCTCGGTCCGACCCGAACGGACGCCGCGTCACGTACTGTGTGCAGACGCTGGGATGCTGACGTGCGGTTGGATTCATAGGAACAAATGTGAGGGATTTTAGTACTGGATGGCTAATATCGGCTCTTCATGTAGTGTGTTCAAGTTCCGGGTTTTTATACTTTTTGTCGAATCCGGCCGTATTTTCATAGTTATTAAGGTATGTTACTTCAAATAATCGGACTCAAACCTAATGGGAGCCATTTCGCCATATCAGCCTGCCTCATTTTGCGCTCCACTCATCCATCTCAGTGCCGTCTGATGGTCCAGTCCGACGGACGTATATCTGATCGGTCATGTATCCGAGCTGCCCCCCCCCCCCCCCCGGTACCTACCGTCCCCCTCCTCGGTGCAGAGGTCAGACTGACAGTCCTTTACCCGGTCTGCGGGGGCGCCTCTCTGATCGCTGAGGCCGTGTATTTTCGGCTCCGACAGCAGACCCTCAGTCTCAGGGACTGATGAAATGCGCCCGCCGACCTCGGCGCTCCGTCTTTCGGCAGCCGCTGTTCTCCAATGTGCCAAACAGTGGAACAAAACCCTTGATGGCTGCCAGAGACGACCGTTTTTTCCGGCCCGCCTTGAAACGGCTCTGCCACTCGCAAATGGCGAGCGTCGACAGTCGCAAAGTTCAGATTCGCAAACGAACTTTGGCCGGGTGGCAGCTTCAATTTATCGGAGTGAAAGGCGTCACATTCTGTTTTCGACATCTGGCTTACACCGTCAGAGAAATCGATGCGATATTTACAAGACCTAAGACTTTGTATGTCCCTCATGGCTTATTGAATAGCAATGTCATTTTAATAAGTTATTTTGCTGGCAACGTTATGCTTCGTTTTCAACTTAACCGGCTGATGGCCAATGCCTCGATTTCTGTCAGAAGCTTTTTATCATTGTTTTATTTATGATATCATAATTTACATTTTAGCTGTTGTACAATTTAATCGAATGTTATTCCAGAAACATATAGATATATTCCTTTTCTGTCACTTCTACTTTGCACTAAGGTACCACTAGACTATTTTTCCTTTTTAGTAAAAAGAACGTTATAATCGATGGACGTTATCGGGCCTCAAGATATCCTGCATATCCTGCAATACGGCTAAGTCGGTGTATGACTTCGGGACACTGTTCACTGTTTTCCACCATGAGACATAAATCTGCACATCTTTTCAATGTTGACATTTCTTTTCTGATACAACTACGAATGCATGGCACCACCTCAAGTGTCCACTATATGTGTCTCAACAGCATGGCATTTGCATTCTGAGGATTTTATCGTGGAATAAGATTTATCGTCAGTCTCAACAATCAGTCTCCAACTAATAGCTTGTTTTAGTGTGCAGTCCAGTTGTCTGAGGCCGCAGTACAGTGGCAGCATCTCCACTGTTGGCCCGTGGTCAGCCGGCACCGGCCCTCGAGGCAGTAGATGGGCCGCTGGGTGCACGTACGGAATGCTAACTTGTGCCCACATTTCAATTGGCTCGCCGGGACGCACTGCACTGAGTTGTTGGGCTATTTTCGGACCGATCCAGCCATGGGGTGGATTGTATGACGACTGACCGTTATTTATGGCAAGATGGGGTGATATTTCCGCGGTGCCAATAGGAATCTCGGCTCATGGGTCCCAGTTGCGACGCCGTCTTATTGGACTGCCCAGAGTGTCTGTGTGTGTGAGCCCCATCCGGACATAATGAGCACAGTCGGCCGTCCGATGACATTGTGCCCGCTGACCTCGGCCGTTGGCGCCATATGAGCCGCCGTTGATAGTAGACAGTTATGTTTCGGCCACTGGTATTATGCTCAACTGGTGACCCTGTGATTTCAGACCGTTTGGCCATGCTACACTTGAATGAGACGTTTTCATTTCTCTGGACGCCATTAGGTTGGCGGTTAAGTTAGCGGCTGGTGGTGTTTTCTCTGCGGAGTGGCTCCCGGACGCATATTAGGGCGACGGTGAGGTCTGAGCAGCTCTGTTTGAGCCGGCCGGCTGCCGCCCAGGGACAGCCACCGTCGTCCCACAGTCAGAACTCCCGTTTGTTCTAGATGATTCCTTTCAAACACCGCAGCGCACTGAGATGGAACTAAGGAATAGCTGTGATGTGATCAGCTATAGGTAACAGTAGAACAGATCAATCAGTTCTACTGTTTCTTTCAGTTCAGTTCTAACAGTTCTACTGTTATCTATGGAGCTACAAATATTTTCAGCATCTAATGCTAGGATGTGAGTCGACATCAATGTCTTGTATTGGGCGCTTGTCCTGATGATGATCTGATGACGTCACACGACAATCTGTTGGCGCACCACCAACCCGAGCCTGAGCTGATGTTTTGTCTAGCTGGGCAGTGGGCTGTCCCAGGCCCCTCGACTTCGAGTGGCTGGTCGGCCCCATCGAGGTTCTGAGTAGTTGTGCACTTTGGTACGGACACTGCAGTGACCAGATATTATTTTATTCGGCTACTTAAAACTACGTATCCTTTTCGCTGACGAAGGCAAAAGT